AAGGTTGCAACCTTGCGCTAATGAAGTGAAGTGTACCTCAAAAATTCTGAGAAGAGGAGTGTTCCGGTGTCAGAGAATCCACTAATTGATCATCTCGACCTTGAGATCTATTGACATAAAGAAAAACAAGAAGTCCAAATCCAAAAAAAAGTGTATTTTGTAATAAAATTTCTGGACCATCTATTTTCAAAATTTCAAACCATCATAAAATTCCCAACACGACATTTCTAAACAAATTTTAGAGACAGGCCTTACTTGAGCAGTATGAGGATGCAACCTCATAGCGAACCTTACACAACTTTTACGGATAGCAATTCTATAATGAACCTATGTGTGCATTGCTGTCCTCCAAGTGACCGCAAGTTACATGAGCCCATAGTCCGCAAAATCGCCCGATCTAACCGCTAACTGAAAGAAAGACCTATATGAGGGGAAATGCAATTTTTTTTTTTTAAATAATCACCCCTTTTAACTTTGGTAACAATATCACTCACATATGATCTTATTACAAACAATAGAAATTCCAAAAAAAAATAAATAACACATCAATAAAATAAATCTCAACTACTTGATGCCATTCATACAACCTAATACTGTACTTGAGTATACAAAATAAAAGAACTAACAAATAAAAGAAAAGATGTCGGAGATTACCTCAACCGGGCTATTTACACCCCACACCAAGTCACTACATCCAATGGCGCGGGATTAGCGATCTAGTTTCAATCTCGAACCGGAAAAGTTAATTTCGACCAAACTAAATAACTACCTTTAAATCTCTACAAAAATCCTAACTCCAAAATAATTAGGTTTGAGTCTTTTTAGGAGAGAGAGAGAGAGTAGAGAGAGAAAATAAAAAAGTAGAGAGAGGTGGGGCGTGGCCCCTAGTGAAGAGAGAGAGAGTTTATAACAGAGAGAGGTGTATAGAGTTGGGGGAGAGCACCCCTATTTATAGTGAAATTTAGGTCTAGGGTTTTTTTAGGGTTTCTCATAGTTTGCCTCTTTCTTGAGATTGAATATGGACCGTTTGATCAATGTGACTTGTGGGGTGAGAGATCTGAGCCATCCATTCTATAAATGAGACATCAATATTATGGAATGTGCATGAACCATTATCCCTCTTTCCTTAAACCATTTTCCCATCAATATATTAAAATAAATTAAATCCATTAAAGATATAGTGCATACCATAAATTGCATATTCAATCTCATATTTTTCATAAGAATATTTCAATAATATCAAGTCAAGATATTCATTCCATAATCAAGATAAGATATGGTCAATATTTCCTAATCAATATTTGACCATATGCTACAGGATATAGTTACTATATTTAATAAACTTGAAGACAAAGCAATAAGAGAAGGTATCTAAGGGTAAGGTGTGCCACGCATGTATGGTATGTGGGGCCCCACCTAATACCCACATGGTGGGCCCATGTGCACTATGGGCTCCCCATGTATTTTTTTAATAAATAATTTAAAATTAAACAAAGTGAATTTTAAAACATTATAACTTTGTAAATTAATAACTTCATTTTTATAAGTCCAAAAATAAGAAATAAAATATCAAATGACTTATAAAAATTCAAATAATAATCTAAAATAATTTAATAATAAAATGAACACAATTAAAATAATATAATGGGAAGTTTATCCATGTGGTTTAGGAATTCTATCAACGATCACGGAGTACTCCACCTTCAATTATGGACTACAGACCACACTTGCTTTATCAAACCGACCTAGTGTTTTTCATGACCCACAGTCCAAGCAGGAGCTCATTAGCGGGTCACTAAAGTCTGACCGATAAGCCAAGGGGTCGTAATCCCAGTTTGTGGATTACAGGTCCTCCCTTAAAAACGAGTCAAGGTCACCACGACCTGATGCGACCACAGCTCTATGGCGCATAGAGGTATCTCTCGCACATGCATACGCTTCACCCAAAGGTGGATATTTGGCTTTCCGAATGATCTATCAATATGCATGCCGTGTGATGGAATATGGATGAGGTTTTGACTCCCGTCTCAGTAGGGCTACCATCACACACAAGGGTTACACAGTCCTTCGATTATTTCATCTAGGCATAAGCTCCGACCTCATCAAAGGCTAACCCAAAACCCTCATCGGTTAATTTTTTATGCTCAAGTACCTTGGGTTTTCCAACCATCTGGCTTAGATCGATAAGAATAGTTCGGTGTAAGCAAACATCATTTACTTAGTATGGTCCTCGATGGTCCACACTCCCACTGAGTTTATGTTTCACTATAATGAAAGTATTTCAGTATACACTCATAAGGCCTTTAAAGGCCACATAAACCGCTTGGTTAGATCGGAACCAGCCAGTGGCCGGTTTAGGTTTTAGGAGGTTAGGATGATCAACTGTATTTTTTAAAAAAAAATTTCAAAAAAACGTATTTAAATTCTCAAAAACAAGAGATTTGATTTGTAATGCATTTTTAAATATTCTTTACATTATGGTAAAGATTAAAAATTGTTTTGGTCATTAATGCTCACTTTTATATTTTTTAATTTTTTTTAAAAATAACTATTGAAATATATAAAATGGGTTAAAATCTATTTTTTCATTAATTTTCAACTTCATTCGAATGTGTTTTGTTTTAATCATTGTTTATATGTTTTTCATATTTTCGTAGATTTTATTTTTATTTTTTTAACACATTGTTGACTGCCCAGGATTTGTCAGGTTAGAACAGTTGAATCGACGGATTTACCGATTAAGCGGTTTAAACCACTTCTCGACATATATCCGATTAACCGTTCCGGTTCGATTTTATCAACACTCCATAGCCACATATTTCTTCACTCTCTCTCTCTCTACTAAAACAACACGTCGCCATCAATAGTAAGAAGAAACCACAATTCTACAAATTACTACTTTTTTTTAGTAGAAAGGCAAAATGGGAATAAAAAAATATAGGAATGGGCACCATTAAATCCTCACCAGTGGCAGGCAAGGTGCACGAGAGGAATCAACGAAGCAGCTTTTTCTCCCTCTTCTGTCTCTCAATCTTATCCCACAAATTAGGGTTAGGGTTTTTTAGAGGAGATGTCTCCATCTGTAAGGTCAAATCCCCTAATTTAAGCAATATCCAATCACGTAAA